AATTAGGGGATCTATTTTTTAGATGTCTGGATAAGGATCCTTGCGACCCAGCAGCGAAGACCGGAAGATGCTTCGAGCCTTCTGCAGGACTAGGGACTTAGGGTTTTGGTGTTTCGGGTTTAGGGTTTAGGGTTTAGGGGCTGTAGGGATTACGTGAAGGCTCAAGGGACTGTAGGGTTATAGTTGGGGTTATAAGTGCCCTAAGGAATGTTATCCCAATGATAGCCTTCTGCAGGACTGGGTTTAGGGTTTAGGGACTTGGGGTATTTAGGGTTCGGGCTTTAGGGTTTTAGGGGTTCAGGGTTCAGTGATCCAGTCTAGGGCCTAGGGTTTAGGGATCTCGGGTTTAGAGAATTTTACCATAGCTAAAACAGGGAGCAGGGAGCCCTACAGAACACTGATGAATGCTAGTCCTAAATCAACCCGTATTAAGCCTAACTATAAGCCCTAGACCCTACATAACCCTACCTGACCTATTAAGTCCCCCGACCCTCCTAGTCCTGCAAGCTACACCTGACCTACCTGATTTGGTTATCGCTTTTTGGAACCGTGAGCATGAGATCATTTTCCCGAAACCCCTATATCCTAAACCCTAACAGGAGAAGATGGTCAGGGCCGAAGCATGTGACCTTCTTCATCCTCTGGAAGGTGCGGCGTGACGGGTTTAGGGATGTTTAGGGCGTAAGATCTAAAGTTGTGGGGCTTTAGGGTTTTAGGGTTTAAGGGTTTAGGGTTAAGGGCTTAGGGTGTAAGGGAGTGTAAGATTTAGTGGTTAGGGTTTAGGGCTTAAGGGTGTAAGGTTTAGAGGTTTGGGTTTAGCGTTTAAGGGTGCAAGGTTTAGATGTGCGGGTTTAGGGTTGAATCACGCAGGGAGTTTAGAGTGTAGGGTTTAGGATTTGAGAATCACTCAGGGTGTAGAGTTTAGGTTTTTTGGTGTAGGATTCAGAATTTTCACATAGACTTTAGGGTGAGGGCTTAGGACAGTGTGTGGGCTTCGTATGCGGAGTTTTTACATAGGGATCTTGTGTAGTGTCGCAAGAATCTGGCCGAGGCTCCAACAGTTTGACATGGCTTCAGGCATCTCTTAGCAGCTGCGTAGGTAACCTTTAACCTTTTTGGGCTCATATAATCCTACCATAATTGAAAGGTTAACCTTTTTTGGGCTAGGGTACTCCGCCTCTAAGATATTGCTGGTTTTCGGATGCGAGGAGACCCGAATGAAACCCTATCAGCCATGGAGCAACCCGCCCCTCATTATAGAACCCCATGGCTACCGTTGCAGAGTCCCTCAATACAGAGCCCCATAGACCCTCCAAGCAACCCTTCCTAAACCCTAAGCCCTAAACCCTAAACAGTATAGAACCGCATTAGACCCTTAAAGCAACCCTTCCTAAACCCTAAACCCTAAGTACTATAGAACCGCATTAGACCCCTTAAAGGAGCCCATAAAGAAGCCCCTCATTCTCTGAACCTCAACAGCCACATGTGTCTGACACTTGCCAGGCCTCAAATGGACACATTCCAAGAAGGTCGGGAACAACACCGCTTCTCGGCTACTCTTTTGGACTTTATAAGGTTTAGGCTTGAAGACTCTCGGGTTAAAGGCTTTAAGGTGTAGGGTGTAGGGCTTGAGGGTTTAGGGCTTTAGGGCCTTAGGGTTTAGTAGGGTTTGTTGCTTTTTCTTTCTGTGTGTTTCTGGTTCTTGATGGTTTACTGTTGTACGTTAACCTCGATTAACTCCTAAATACCGAACCGAAACACAGCTGGAAAGAAGGTTTACAGTGGCAACTTGACGGTGCCTCTGAGTCCCCATGCGGAAGACAAAGATGACACGCCCTTCTTGGATCTTCTTGTGGCGTGGCTGCACCCCAGACCCTAAACCCTAAGCCCTAAACCAAAAAAGCAGAGAGCCTTCAGCCGTGCGATAAACTCGCGGGCATCTAGGATGTCACTAGGGCTCTCGGGGTTTTGTGGTGTGGGTGCAGGGGCTTAGTATAGGGTGGGGCTTTTCGGGTGCAGGAACCCTGCAGCATTAAATCCGGAACTATCTTGGATGTGGAATTGTGTCCCTGCGAGCTGCTTCTTGACAAAGCCATGAAGCTCCCCCCGATACTACATTCCAGATTTCAGGTTCCGTTTCGCTTGCCTAAACCTTCTAGAATCCGAAAGCCGAGCCCCAAACCCTCAACTCTATACCCATAACCCTCAATTCTCAACCCTAAACCCTAAAAGCCCTATATAAAAGTTCTGCCTCTTTCAAGTCTTCCATCCGGTTCACTTGTTCCTCAACGCCGAACACCCTCATAGGCGGCTTCCTTTGAGGGTTCTTTTAGGGGGTTCCTCGAAAGATTCCCTTGTAGGAACCTTCAAAAAGCCGGGTTTTGAGATGAGGGCTTCGGCTTAGGCCTTGGGGTTCAGGGTTGAGGGTTTAGGGTTTAGGGTCAGGGAACCCTTCCAGGAACCCCAAGCCCTACACTCAAACCCCAAACTCGTAGCGAACCTGCAGGTGATGCTTGCGGGTGGTATGTTTGATGCATACATACATGATCATACATGCATAAACACATACATACAGCCATCCATCCATGCATGCATATACATATAAATAAATAAATAAATAAAAAAATAAATATATATATATATATATATATTTATACACATATAGACATACATATGTAGTATATCATACTTCATACTATATTCAGAAATAGTATGTGTCACCTTGTAGCAGCCTGAAAAAGAGCCCTTCAAGGAGCTCCCTCCCGCAGGTGATGCTGGTGGTACTTAGTAAGTAAGGTTATAAGTACCTTAATTGAGGTTATTAGTAATTATAAGTATAGTTACCTTATTTATAACCCTAGTTCCTCATTCCCATGATCCTAAACCCTAAACCCTAAACCCTAAATCCTAAACGCTAAACCTTAAACCCTAAACCCTAAATCACCCTAGGCCCTAAAGCCGAAACCCTAAACCCTAAACCCTAGGCCTAAAGCCTAAACCCTAAGCAGGTGATGCTGGACGTACCTCCTGGGGCTTCCGAGCCTCGGTTGGTGCATTGCGGCGGCCCAGGGAGTGATGCGACCTGCGCCGCGGCCCGTTTTTTGGTCTTTTTGCGGGCTTTAGGAAGGGCTCCTTGAAGGGATCTATCAGGGAATTTCCGAAAATAAGGGGTACCTTATTTTGGGGTCCTTAAAATAAGGACTCTACTCTTTGGGGTACTATATTAGGGTCCCCTATTTTCGGAAACACCCATAAGGGTACTAAAGAGCTTAAGTTTAGTGCTTTCGGGTTTTTTGGGTTTAGGACTTTACGGGTTTTTTGGGGGTGTTTAGGGCTTGGGAGTTTAGGAGTTTAGGGGTTTAGGGTTTCGGATATAGGGTGCCATCCGGTTTTGTAGGGTCTTTAGGTAGGGTTCTGCGGGATTTCCGGCGTTTTTTGGGGGCCTGGTAAACTTCTAGAGTTTTGGTTTTCTTGATGTTTCATGGGTGTTCTACAGGTTTTGGGGCAAAAGGATCACAACTCGACCTTGAAGCTGTAAACCCAAGCCTCTTCCGTCCAAAGCACCCAGAGGCTGGATACCTTATGTAAACTCGTAGACATCCAGTAAAAGCCCAAAGAACCCTTGAAAAGCGAGATTTCAGGTGTGCTGGGAATGAGCATCCAGGGCTATGCCAGCTTCTCAATCTCCCAGCGCGGCATCGGGGTGACCGCGAATCCCAACTTCGAGTGCGATCCGAGTCACATGAAGTTCCCACCGAAGGGCCAGTCGAACTACGAGACTCGGTCTGCTACTAAATGCTACTACTACCCATAGGCCCGTAAGTAGTTCCTTGTTGGGATTACCTTTTAGGATTCGAAATATAAACCATAAAAAGGAACTACTTTCGTGCCTATGGGTAGAGTTGTAAGATTATCCAAACCCTAAAGTAATGTCCCCGAACCCTGCATCCTAAACTCCAAAGTAATATCCCTAAACTCTAGACTCTACACCCTAAAGTGATATCCCTAAACCCTACACCCCAAAGTATTATCCCTAAACCCTACACCCTGAGCCCTAAAGCAATATCCCTAAACCTTACACCCTAAACCCTAACGTAATACCCCTAAACCCCAGACCCTAAACCCTAAAGTAATATCCCTAAACCCTACACCCTAAACCCTAAAGTAGCAAAGCCAAACTACGAGATACGGTTCGCGTGAGCTTCGGTACTGATGGTGGCGATGGCAGTGATGGCGGTGGCGGCGACACCGTGGTGAAGGTGGTGATAATGCAGATGACAGCGACGATGAAGACGGTGAGGATGATGAAGATGAGTGAAGGATGATGAAGGTGATGATCAAGCAGTAGAAGCAGGGCAGAGGACGATGCGACGAGCCGCAAACCCTCAACTCTAAATCCAACCCTTAAATCCCAAACCCTAACCCTTAACCCTTTTAACTTAACCCTAAACCCTACCTAAACCCCAAAGAACCTACCGTTTTAACGACTGATTTGAGGAAATCATAATAAGGAGACCTACAAATGTAGGTTTCTTGGGGTCCAGGTAAACCTCTCCACAAGGAGCGTAAGTCTAAACCCAAAACCCAACCCCCTACATCCCAAACCCACACCCTAACCCTTAAACCCTAAACCCTAAACCCTAAAGCCCTAAACCCCTAAACCCCTTAAGGAACCCTATAGATCCCTTTAAAGGAACCCTGTAGATCCCTTTAAAGGACCCCTAAACCCTACACCCTCCCAAGGAGATCTCCGACTTCACCGACTGCCCCTGCGCGCTGCCGGATGGCGCGCCCTTGGTTGGCCAGTCCTTCGCGAACTTGGACCCGAAGAACGACTCCCAGGTTGAGGCTCCTCGGGTTCCTCTTAAAGGGTTCCTTTTAAAGGTTTAGGGTTGAGGGGTTTAGAGTTTAGGGTTTAGGGTTTAGGGCTCTAAGGACTCATATTTTAAGGCTTTTGGGCCCAAAGTCCATACTCTATAAGGCTTTTGGGCTATGTTGATGCTAAGGGTAAGGGTTCCTTTTGAAGGATTCCTTTCAGGGTGCTGTTAAGGGGTTCCGTTTTGGGGTTCCCTTTCGGGGGTTCCTTTTAAGGGGTCCTTTAAGGGTTCCATGAAGGGGTCCTTTAATGGTTTCATTTAAGGGTGCGTTAAAGGATGTAGGGTTTAGGGTTCCTTTCAAGGGTGTAAGGGGTGTAGGATTGAGGGTTCCCCCAAAGGGGTGTAGGACTGAGGATTGCTTCAAAGGGTTTCCTCCAAAAGGTGTAGGGCTTAGGGTTCCTTCGCACTCAACCCTAAACCCTAAACCTCACAACTGTAAACAGTAAACCCTAACCTCTAGACCTTCCACTCCTAAACCCAAAACCCGAACCTCTAAATCTTACACCCTTACACCCTTACACCCTAAACCCTAAACTCTAAAAAGAGGTGTAGGGTTTAGGCTTCCTTCAAGGGTTGGAGGGTGGGCCATCGGAGCGGCGCTGGGTTCTGTGGTTCGGGTTCCAGGCCTTCTGTAGGCGGCGTAACGGGTTCAGGGTTTAGGGCTTTAGGGTTTAGGGTTTAGGGCTTTAGGGTTTAGGGCTTTAAGGCATTTACGGTTTACATCGATGGGCTCCATGATTTCCTCGTCCAGCATGGACTGGCATGGCGGCAGGTCATTCATTGTGACCCATGCGGGCGTCCACTCGCAAAATCGCGATGGACTGGGCTGCAGCTCGGCACATGTGCACGACTTGCTCAAGAGCATCTGCTCCATCGGTTTCTCGCAGAGCGAAGTGCGGGGCATCTGCCTCGAAGTGCCACATGGCCCGGAGGGAGATGAGATTCGGGGCTTCAACCAGCGACTCGTCGGTGATGCAGGTGGCAGACTTGCACCTGTCACCAGCCTGCGATATGCATCGGTCGTAGGATCGCATGCCAACCAGGCTGCGAGGTGCATCTGGCACAAGATTGCTCACGATGACGATCGACCCACTGTCGACGGCAAATTCTCGCTTGAAAAGCTCGAATCCGTCGATAAAGCCTGGGCCCGATCGATTCGAGATGGACTCACGTGGCTAGTCAACTTGCGCCCACGAGGAAAGGTACTCACGGAAGAACATCAACGTAAGGCTGCTCCGCTGTGGGGGCGAGAAGTCGCTAGCGACGGATGTCGGAATCGAAGCCCTGAACCCTCAACACTAAATCCCCTAAATCCCCTAAAATCCCAAAAGCCCTAAACCCATCTAGCCCCAAAGCCTTAAACTCTGCACTCCCAAACCCTAAGGTCTACACCCTAAACCCTAAACCCCTGAACCCTAAACCCCTAAAGCAAAAACTCTAAATCCTCAGGTCTAAACCCTATTTTGAGGTGGGTAGGTACCGTTATAGGAGCCTTATAGAAGGTCTATATACCTTATAGGAGCCCTATAGAAGCTAAACTCCCCACCTGTAGTTTCCTTTAACTAAGGTCCTCTTCCGCAGCATGGCCCTCCGCTCCCGGACCTGCGCCGGAGATAGCAAGTGGATGCTCACAGGCCCGAGAGGGAAGAAGCAGCCCGGGCTCCCAATTGAGCTAGGGTTTGGGGGATTCTTAGGGCATTTAGGGTATATGGGGTTTAGGTTTAGGGCTTTTTAGCGGCTTTTAGGGTTTTTAGGGTTTGGGGTTTAGAGTTTGGGGTTTAGGGTTTCGGGGGGTTTTAGGGGCTTTTAGGGGTTTGGGGTTTAGAGTTTAGGGTTTTCTGGGTATATAGGGTTTGGGATTTAGTGCTTTGGATCACTGTAAAGGGCAAGGGCTTAGGGGTTCTTCGGCTTTATAAGGGCCCTGTCGGGTGTGGCAAGGTCCAGTCGAGGGTTTCATAAAGATGTTTCAAGTGGTTTCGGGGTTCACACGGTTGGCCAGGCTTTGAAAGGGTTGAAGAGTATCGGAAAGGTCTGAATCATTAGTACTTCTCCCCTAAGGGGTCCGCGGTATATTGAATGATTGTAGTACTGTATTTCACTATACCCCAAAACCCCACTCTAAGTTATGAAAGCCTCTTTATAGAGCTTTTGGGTTTCCTTGCGCCCTGCATCCCACTTTCCACCCTTAAGCGTTAACCCTGGAACCACCCTTAAATGCAAAGCCCTACACCTGACACCGGACATCTAACCCCTAAGCCAGTATCTCTAAACCCTAAACCCTAAACCGCCTACATCTCTACACCCTAAAGCTGCAGCCCAGGTACAACTTCCTCGAGTGGTCAGGGACGCGCATGTTGGCACATGAGCCTCGCTTGTTGGACCAGGTTCCTCCAGGGCTTGGTTTGCTCTTCCTGAAGCCTCGGAGCCAGGGTTTAGGGTTTACGGTGTAGGGTTTAGGGTTTACGGTGTAGGGTTTAGGGTGTAGGGCACTGTAGGGTTTAGGGTGCAGGGTTTAGGGTTTAGGGCTGTTGTTTGGGTCACATCCTGCAGGCAGAGCAAATAGAAATTGTCCTTGCGTTCCCATAGTCCAGAGTGGGCGAGGGAAGGCAAGAAGTTCTCCGGCAGTATGTGCCTTGAGGCTGAAATCCTAAATTCTTAACGTGTTCAAGTCTGCGTTTCTGTGAGAAACGCCGGTACTCCTTCATGTACTCTAAACTTCTAAACTTCTAAACCCTAAACCCTAAGCCCCTAAACCCCTAAGCCCATAAACCCTTAACCCCCAAAGCCCCTAAACCCCTAAACCCTTAACCCTCAAAACCCCTAAACCCCTAAACCCTAAACCCTAAACCCTTAACCCCCTAAACCCCTACACCCACTACCCCTAAACCCTAAACCCTAACCTCTAAACCCTAAACCCCTAACCCCTGAACCCCCAAACCTTAAACTCCTAAACCCTAAGCCCCTAAACCCTTTACCCCCAAAACCCCAAAACCCCTAACCCCTAAAGCCCTAAACCCCTAAACCCTAAACCCCCTAAACCCCTTAAACCCCCTAAGCTCCTTAAACCCCTTAAGCCCCCTAACCCTAAACCCCTAAGAAAAAAGACCGTAAGCCCCGAAACCCCCTAAACCCCTAAGCCCCAGACTCGCGTCTCCTGGGTCCTTACATCCCAGCATCCCGAACCCCCTCCGACCCCCCCTCCCCCCCCGCCCAGAGGCTAGTCACTCGGAGCCCGGTTTAGGGTTTAGGGTTTGGGGCTTAGGGTTTGGGGTTTCGGGTTTAGGGTTTGGGGTTTGGTTTTAGGGTTTAGGGTTTGGGGTTTAGGGTGGTGGGGTTTGTTTCCTGATCTGGGGTCTAATGTAGGCCTCTTACCGCTTAGAAGCGGATTTTTGTGGATGTTATACTATAGTTATATAAGGACCTAGTTATATAAGGACCTTGCAGAGATATTATGACTCATTTTCCAAACCCTATATTATACAAGTATTGACAGCCGATACCTTGGGCTTACAATGCTCGATTTTGTTCTGTTTGCGGTTTACGGTTAGCTTCAGGGTTGAGAGTTTAGGTTCAGTGCTTAGGGTTTAGGTTTTGTGCCGGTTGATCTCAGGACATCGACTTCTTCCGAAGCCGCATCTGTGCGCCAAAGCTGAGCCTTGGAAGTGAAGGCCCTAAACCCTAAATCCTGGAAGCCCCAAGCTGCACCTTGATAGGGCGAAACTAAGCCCTAAACCCTAAAAGCCCTAAGCCCTGCCGTAACCTTCTTGAGGGCCTCCATCCTTGCCCAAAAGGATGTTCCTGGGTTTAGGTGACAGGGATTGAGGGTTTAGGTTTAGGGTTTAGGGTTTAGGGGTTCAGGGATTCAGGGTTTAGGGTCTAGGACTCACGGTACCCCCTTGTCTCAGGAGCTGGCAGTACAAAGTACTGTTGATGATACAAACCCTGCATAACCCTAGGGACCCTAAACTTTGGGAATTATGGCATATGCCTTTTTATGGGTAATCTGCAGGATATATATCATCAGCCGTGGTACCCTAAACCCTAAAGCCCCAAACCCTAAACCCTAAACCCTAAACCCCCAAACCCTAAACCCTAAACCCCCAAACCCTAAACCCTAAACCCTCAACCCTAGCGGTAGCCAGAGCCACAGAAGCCATGCCATGGTTCAGCGCAGCGGCAAGATGGTCTGTATTCGGGTCGACCTAAAAGTTCGCACATGTGGGGGGTAGTTTTCGAAGTTGGGGTCCCTTTTAGGGTTCCTTAAAGGGAGCTATAAAGGTTTGTATAAGAGTGCCATAAGGGTTTTCTTTATGAGTAGGGTTAAGGGCTTAGGGTTTAGGTATATGGGTAGTTCGAAAAAGGACCCCATAAGAGACTATCATTAATTTAGAGAACTATACGGGTAGTTTTCTAAGTTAGGGTCCCTTTTGGGGTTCTTGTTATAAGGGTGCCGTACTATTTCGGGGACTTAGAAAGGGACCCTGTATAATTCAGAGAACTTCCCCCTATGGTTTTGCCTGGTAGACCCTGAAGAGTAGCATGTGCCCGCGCCCGTCCGAAGCTACGGAGGAACCTGGACGGTTCGTCTTATGGCACAGCGGTGGCCGCTGTATATGCAGACATGTTCCCCGATCGAGTTGCCAAGATGGTCATCAACGGCAACTTCGGTGGGCTTTACATCATCGGCTCTGGGTTTATAGGGTTTAGGCTTTGGGCTTTAGGGTTTAGGCTTTAGGCTTTCGGGTTTCGGGTTTAGGCTTTGGGGTTTAGGGTTTAGTTCGGGGTTCTTCTACATTCGTAGGGTTCTGGCAGTTTTCTCCTTGGGCATGTGTTGGGAGTAAGGCAACATGCCACCGGTGCCCAACACGCTGGAGTTCGCGAAAGGGCAGGGCATGGCATTAACGCAGGCTTTTGGGCATTTGGAGTCTGAGCAGCAGGAGAGTCATTGTGAATATGCATTGCCATTTCATCCCTAATCCCTAAACCCTAAATCCTAAACCTTATGGTTCTTGTGTCTTCTTGCTTTCAATGAATTCCAATGTTGGTGCGACACAAGCCAGGTAACCTGCAGGGGGTTGGAAGCCTTCAACTTGCCAGTGTCTCTTTTGCGGTGACTGTATATATAAACTATCTCCCTCTCTTGACATAACAGAAACATAGACTTCACCAAATAATGAGAATAACAATAATAATGATAGTAGTGAATAATAATAATGATAATAATAGTAATATTAGTAGCAACAATATTCATACTAATAAATAATAATTTTACTAATACTAATAGCAATAATAAGAAATATGTCTGCCTAGGAGCGGATGTGCGTCAAATGGACTTCGACTCGTCCCTGCGATTATTTCAGCAACGAGATGCCGCTCGATCCGACGATCTCCTCCTCTGAGCTCCCGAAAGGTCTAGGGTTTAGGGTTTGTTGTCTGGCTCCCTGGGTTTAGGGTTTAGGGTTTATTGTATGGCCCCCTGGGTTTAGGGTTTAGGGTTTACGATTTATTGTGTGGCCCCCTGGGTTTAGGGTTTAGGGTTTTTGGTTTATTGTATGGCTCCCTGGGTTTAGAGTTTAGGGTTTAGGGTTTATTGTATGCCCCCCTGGGTTTAGGGTTTAGGGTTTATTGTATGGCCCCCGTATTAAAACTTAAAAACAGAAAACACGATACCCTTATTTATATAGAGGTCACTCGCGAACCTAGTTCAGGGTTTAGGGTTTAGGCGGTTTAGAGTGTTGTGATGTAAGTTGGTATTGACGAAGACTCCTGCGTCGTGCGGTCGTGCGCAACGGGGCCAAGAGGCGCGAGCAAGTGAGATCCCCCTACAGTTCATCGTTGTTCTGGTCCGCAAATCAAGTACAACCAAAGCCCTTTCTCCCAAACCCCATAAACCCTACACCCCAAACCCTATAAACCCTAAACCTCTTTTTTTCCCCGAGAACCCTAAAGTCAGAAAAACCCGAGGACCCCCAAGCCTTCAGCCTCGAATCCTTTGGGGGCCCTCATCTCTAGTCCCAGAGTGCCAGAGTCCTTCGAAGCCTCAAGCCATACCTGGACCCTGAAGAATTCAAGGGGTTTAGGGTTTTAGAGTTTAGGGTTTAGGGGCTTGGGTTTGGGTTTTTTTTGGGGGGGTTTAGGGTTTACCATAACCCAAGTAACCTACCCTTTTTGCAAGGACATGTATAAGGAAATCATAATAAGGAGCCTTTAAAAAGGCAGCTTCTTTAGGGTCCAGGTAGAGACCCCAGCCAGGGACGCCTCAACCCAAACCTTCCAAGACATCATCCTTTCTACGAAAGCCTATAAACCCTAAACCCGAAAGCCTAAACCTGGTAGACCGGTGGGCCCTGGCTAGCGGGCTCCCCCGGAATTTCGGGAATTCGGAAGCAGAAGCAGATGGAAAAGGGCCCGAGCCAGAAGAACCCTAAACCCTAAACCACAAACCCTTAAAACCCTAAACCCTAAAACCTTAAACCCTAAACCCCTAAAACCCTAAACCCCTAACCCCCAAAACCCTAAACCCCCGACGACCCCATTCCCGAACCCAGGTCTCTGACAAAGGCCTGGAATGCCCTCATCGGCGAGATTCGGGCGGGGCGACTCACGGCGCCCACGAACCTCCCGGGGCAGGGAGGCGCTCCCAGCTGCTTGAGTCGTAGGGCTTTTGGGGTTTCGGGTTTGGGCTTTCGGGTTTCGGGTTTAGGGTTTCGGGTTTAGGGTTTGGGTTTTCGGGTTTAGGGTTTGTGGTTTCCGGTTTAGGGTTTAGGCTGCCAAGTAGGTTGGCCTACTCTGATGCACAAGGGGTAATATGTCTTTAAAGAGTTTATGCTGCAGAGGGCCCAAGGCGGACAACCATTCGGCTCTAACTGACCCCAGCCCGACTCCGAGCCTCTAGCAGATTCGGACGGGGTTCTCAAGAACTGGAGTAGAGTCTCGGTGCATGTTATACTTTCATTATGCAGCGACTGCACGACAACAAGGGAATATACTGTTCAGGGTTTAGGGTTTTAGGGTTTAGCGTTTAGGGTTTGGGGTTGCGGGCTACTTACTATACATTCATCAGACATTTGGGGTTGGAGCCACTAAACTCTTATAGAGCCCTTGCAAGAACCGGCGACCCCGTACCCTGAAGCCTAAACCCTAAATACTATTTTCAACTCCATATCCCCACAGCATGATGTCAAACCCTAAGCCCTAAACCCTAGGCCCTAAACCCTCAACACTAAGCCGTGCAAGTATTGCTGCTTCAGCTTTGACTCAGCAGTCAGACTACACCCCCAACCTCCTATTTCGAATTCTGCGCGTCCTTAGGCCCCAAAAAGGTAGAGACACCTGAAGTGCTCTGAGGCAATGTGAGCTTCCCTTTGAGCATAGGGCTACTCCAGGGCTATGTCCAGGAGCTGATGATCATTGCAGGTCACTCGCTCCGAGTTTCGCAGGAGTTTCAGAGCCTGTTTCTGAACCCTAAACCCCCTAAACCTTAAACCGTGCTACGGGGTTTTACAAGGTTTCATAAACCCTAAACCCTACGTAGGGGCTTAAGGAGTTTGAGAACGCCTCTGAGATTTGGCGTTTTAGGGAGTTGGGAGCTTCGCTGGTTTTAGTTTTTTGTTTTCTTTTTTAAGGGCTTCGGATTTAGCGCTTTGGGGGTTTGGGGGTTTAGGTTTAACAGTTTGGGGTTTATGGCTTAAGGGTTTGGGGGTTTAGGGAAAGTTTAGGGTTTGGGGCTTTGGGGTTTAGGGGTTAGCTTAAGGTCTAGGCCCTAGGCTTCAGGTCGAGGGGTTTGCTGGGGCCAAGCTTGGCTTTTTGAAAGGCTTGGCCAAGCCCGGGTTGGGTGTGTGGTCTCCTGGTCATCTGGTCCCTTGGTCCTCTGGTCCCTGGTCCAGGTCGTGGTCCGCTGCGTGTCAGAACCCGTCATAAAGACGCTGTGTTTGCAAATGGGGGGGTGCCCCCCGCCCCCCCCTCCCCCCCCCGGCTTTCTTTTTGCGCTGCAGGCTTGCTTTCAAGAACATCATACCATCAACAAGACTTGTTTCAAGCACATGGTTTGACATAGTTCTTACAGAACTTTCAGAGCTTTCAACACCCATCATGCTGGCATTCTGTTTGGAAATGGGGTGGGGCTGCGCTTATCAATACTATAGTAATTTAACGCTAATCCAAACCGGAGGGAAAGTTGCGATTTTTCCTATTCACATACTGGAAAGCAATCAAAAAAACAGAGGCATACATATTCAGGTCTGCTTTGAATATTTTGCGGATCGGCATTCCCGACCAGCTGTTGGCACAAAGCGCGGCTTTGGAAATTGCAATTTCCCAATAGCTTGATGCGAAACCCAGCCGTGCACATTGTAATTCCAAATAGCGTGACACAAAATGAACCCCGCACGTTGTAATTCCTCAATAGCTTGAAGCAAAACAACACTTCGCTATCGAAATCCCCGACTAGCTTCGCGCAAACGAAGGCCTTCAACTTGGAATCCCCGACCACCTTCGACGCAGAAGAAGCCCTGCACATGCTATTTCCCGAATAGCTTCAAAAAGAAAAGCCCAGAAACGGGTCTTCCACAATAGCTTGCTGCAGATGAATACCCACAGTTATTGGGGATTTCCCCAAAATCTTGCTGCAAAGCAAGACACTACAGGTAGGCTTTCCCCAATAGCTTGCTGCAAGTCAAACTCAACTCCTCGGCCAAACCTTCTAAACAATACCTGTTGGCCAAACCTGCTAAAGAAAATCCCTCCGCCGGTTTGCTGGGTTAGGGTGTAGGTTTAGCTCAGGGGCCCTCCTAAACCCAAATCCAGGTTTCGTGCCGACGGGCTGGGCAAAGCCTGTCCTGACGCTCGTAAACCTTGCGGGCATGCGGGGCCAAAGCGCTCGAGTGGCGCCTCTCGTGATTTTAGGATTTTGGGGTTTCGATACACTGAGTTTTGGGGCGGGAAAGCAACAAGAATCATAATACTGATGATTGGAGAGCAACATACGGCTTAGAACGTCATGGATAGCTGTCGTCGGCATGATGGAGAGCTGCCTTTGCGGACTTAATATAGGGGCCTAGAGAATTGCCTATACTATGTTGGGGGTTCCTCATTATCAGTACAGTACAACGGGCCCGAAGACCTTATTCTAAGTTTGTTCGGCCCCTATATTCGGTTGGACGCCCAGGCCCTCAACCCGAAACCCTAAACCGTTCATAGTGCAGTGTTCAGCGACGGACATCTGGCGTGTAGTTTACACCGGGTCTGGGATACCTAAGCCGTACATCCTAAAGCCTCAACCCTAAACCCTGTAAGCCCTAAACCTAAATCCTAGACCCTACACCCTACACCCTATAAACCCCTAAACCCCTAAACCCTAAACCCTAAAAACCCTAAACCCTAAACCCTAAACCAAATCTGAACCCAACAAC